GCCAATCAACTGTCTCACCTATTCAGAGGGCCTGATCCAGTTGGGGGCCCCTCAGCCTTTGGTTCATAGTTCATGTGCTTCCATTCGTTTGGCTATTTGTCCCTGTGCTTTATCCAACCTTGGTCTCAACAATTCTCACTCATATAAACCCTCCTCTTTCTCGCTAATTAGACTCCCGGAGCTCCACCTAGGGCCTAGCCATGGTTGTCTGCATCCAGATTCCGCAGTCCTTGGATGGGGTTTCTGGCACAACTATTAGGGTGTTTGGCCATCCCATCACCAGAGTAGGTCAGTTCTGGCTGTCTCTCAACCATTGCCAGCAGTCTTTTGTGGGGGTATCTTTGTGGATTTCTGTGGGCCTCTTTAGCACTTTGTTTCTTCCTTTTCTCATGTGGTCTTCATTTACCATGGTCTCCTATTCCTTGTTCTCCCTCTCTGTTCTTGATCCAGATGTATTTATCTCATTAGAATAACTTGCTTAATATTGCACATGATTTTATTGTATGCTGGTATTGAGGAAAAACATTTTAATGAATTTACAAAATTTCTTATCACCACAATTGTGGTGATAAAAGAATAAAACTTCTGGTTTTTGTGAGAAGCAAAAGATAGGGGTAAATTTTACACATTGGGTTACAACTCTCAAAATTATAGTATGAGGACTATGTTTTTGTCTATGAATCTCACATTTATACACTTTTATTAATTAATTAAATTATTCCTTTGATAATGTATATAATGCATTTTGATTACTCTCTCTCCTTACCCTCTCTTACTACTCCCCTTCTATCCCTAGCCTCCTCACCCTTCTCTACCAGTTCCTTTCTCAGATTCATGACTTTAGGCTTGGTTTTATGACCCATCTAGTTTATCCAGAGACACCTATGTGAACATTGTATTGGGACTATGCACTGGAGACTGGTAGAGTCACCAATGGGTACACAACTGAAGGCAACAGCTTACCCCTTCCTTGAATTTGTAGTTAACAGCTTGGCAGTGAGTCATGAGGCTCCCTGAGCCCCTCCTCTATCCATGTTTGGATACTGACAGACTTATGCTAATGTATACCCTCACTGGACTCATTTTGATATGTATACCTTATACTACCATACTACTATTGAAGTTGTTTGTTTTAAGTCTAAAGAAGAATGCATTATTTGATGCAAGATTTTTGTGAACTAATCAGATCTCTGATCTTGAAT